TATGGTCATAATGTGCCTATATATGGTGATGATGTGCCTATATATGGTCCTGATGTGCCTATATATGTTCATGATGTGCCTATATATGGTCATGATGTTCCTATATATGGTCATGATGTTTTAGTAACTAGCATGTATGACTATATTTGACTACGTTAGAAGATAAAAATACACTCAGAGCAATGTTTTATTATGCAATGAGAATATATATGTCAGCCATACCACTGGCATTGTGTTGAAAATATTTACAACTGTTATTTAGTACAAAAGTACCATTTTATTATATAAGACATACAGGTCTCCCTTCAATGTAAGACCCCTCCAATTAAGGACCACCTCCAATTAAAGACCACTATTTTGTGGTGCCAAATTTACAAATTTCTATTACCTTTTTTATTATTGTAATGGGAGACCAATTCTGCTAAGGCTGTCTCTTATACACATCTAGATGTGTATAAGAGACAGTGTCCATGATGATGATGTGTCAATGTCAGTGAGTGGAGTCGAATAGCTTGGTGGTTAAGATGCTTGCCTTCCAATCCCAGGGTCCTGGGTTCAATTCCTCTCAGTTGCAGGACTTTTTCTCATGACCAAAAACAACTCCACTCCTAAACCTCATATTGAGATTTAGTTTGTGTAAAGCATCATGTGTGTATGTTTGTCTTGTGTGTCGTGGACTGTTTTATTTGTACTGGGCCCTCTGGGAGAACAGTAACTTTTTACTGAAGAGGTAACCCAGTATAAAGAATAAATAAATAAAATAAATAAATAAATATATGTACATATATATATATATATAATACATATATATACATAATATATATTATATTATCATACATATACATATTATATACATTATACATATACATATATATATACATATGTGTGTGTATATGTATATATACATATACACACATGTATGTGTGTATATATACATATATGTATATATATATAATATATATATATATATATAACAAAAAAATATAGGAAACGAATACCATGTATAGACTTTAGAAACACGTTATTTGAGAAAACAAATATTTCGACCTATCCTCGGGTCTTTATCAAGGTACATGAAAAAACTAGCAAAAAGGAGACACACATAAAAAAGAATAAACAATGCAGATTATAATGAGAGTAATTAAAATTGGGTAGGCCTTTACATTGATTGTAATAAACAGATTGATAAAGACCTGAGGATAGGTCGAAATATTGGTTTTCTCCAATAAAGTATTTCTGAAGTCTATACATGGTATTCGTTTCCTATGTTCTTGGAGTTTTACACAAAAGGCAAATCCTTGTGAACACTGGTTGCCAAGATATAAGAACCCTTTTGTCAACACCAGCCGCATTTGATAAATGCCTTGGAACAAGCCAGTGGTTTTGGAAATATGAAGATTCTATGGCTATGACCTTCAAACATGTCAAAGGTCAGAAACGACTTTTCCGGTCGTATTAGTAAAATGTTCTATCAGAGTAAATAGAAACATGACTATTCCGAACAAATTGGCACCAAAATTAACTCTCTACCACCAGTAGTTGTATAGATAATAAGGACTCAATAACTATGACATTTGAAACATGTCAAAGGTCAAAAACAGCATTTCCGGTCATTTTCTAGCAAACTTTTCTATTAGACTAAATAGAAACATTAATGTTCCGAACATATTGGCACCACAATTAACTTTTTACCACCAGTGGTTGCGGAGATATAATGACCCTATTGCTATGACCTTAAAACATGTCAAAGGTTAGAAACAGCATTCCCGGTCATTTTTTAGCAAAATGTTTCATTAGAGCAAATAGAAACATGAATGTTCTGAACAATTAGGCACCAAAATTAACTCTCTACCACCAGTGGTTGCGGAGATGTGACGACCCTATAGCTATGACGTTTGACCCCGACCTTTTGACCTTTCGCCACATTTTGAAAATGTGTTACGAAGCCAAAAATGATTCTTGGACCACCCTAAACCAATTTCTGAAGTCAAATTCTCTGGACGTCAAAGTGCATACAAAACCTGGTCTGGCTACTAGGGTATATAGGATATCGTGTAGTTCTAACCCGTCAGACAACGTCCTTAACTGAAACGTTCACACATAGTGGAGCTGCGGTCAAGCTAGAAAAGCTACACACACACATACACACACACACTATATACTATAAGCTAGATGGGTACACAGCTTAGTTAAATTCTTGGCATTGCACTTATATCCATTATTTGTATAATTAGTTACTATGCGTTACAACGTCACTGCATATCGATGGTAAAATTTGTTTACTTAGGCATACATGGTACAATATGGTTACATGAATCCGACAGCGGATGGAAGGAAGCACAACGATGAAGAAATGCGCAATGGTCTGATGTCATTTCAGCGCTTTAACGGAATGAACGACACGGGATCTATGGACAATGCAACTATGCATAAGATGCACACGCCTAGATGTGGTGTAAAAGATATTCTGTATACTCCATCTAGCGTGCGTGCTAGGCGATACGCATTCGCCGGAAGTAGGTGGCCAAGTACATCGCTCACTTATAGGTGCAGTATTCATTTTTTAAATTTTAGTTATCATCGTCGTCGCCGTCGTCATCATCATCAACCTCATTTTTAACTGTAATGTCTTTTGAACTTTAAGGTATATAAATTATTCGCCCGATTTGACGGAAGCACAGACAAGACAGGCTATTGAGGCCGCTTTCAAAGTATGGAGTGACGTCACACCTTTAATTTTTACTGAAGAGAAAGGGTCCAGTGTTCCTGATATCTACATACTTTTTCAACCTGGTGAACATGGGGACGGTAACGCATTTGACGGCCCAAGTGGTACACTTGCGCATGCGTATTTTCCGGCACCTGGTATTGGTGGCGATGCTCACTTTGATGAAAGCGAATTTTTTACTATTAATGGAGAGCGAGGTAAAATAGCCATGCAAACTAAATAAAGCTTCCCAGTAGATGAAGCTTACTGAACATTATTAACACTAACACTAATGATAATATGCAGCTCATTAATGCCAGCAAAACATGACTGGACTGGACTTGCATACTATACAAAAAGAGCCTGTTGATAAATTCTTTTTGCGGATATATAATTTATACTGTACGCCGATGGCCTGAATATTCATGGTATATGCAAAATTGAAAAAAAACCAGATATTAATGAAAGCTCAGCACTAACGTTATGCCTTGACTACCAACTCATCGTAACACACCATGCATACGTAAATGCTACTCTATTGTATTTATAATAGGTCTCTGTATAGAAATCAATAGAAAAATAAACTGTCGCGATACTGGATGGTGGTGGACACGGTGGTACCTAGGCCTATTTCCTTAAAGTTGGCAATGAGATAAATGAACTATGTTTGTGGGGTTTTTTTTCAGGGATTGATTTATTCCAGGTAGCAGCGCATGAATTTGGTCATAGTATGGGTCTTGCTCATTCAAGTGACCCTAACGCATTGATGGCACCCTTCTACGCTGGATACATTGCAAACTTCGTGTTACCTCAAGATGATATAAACGGAATACAAGCGTTATATGGTAAGATTTCAGAAATGAACAACATGGGTTAAAGGTCCACACGACTTCAACCCCACCATGGTTGGGGCTGAGTGTAGGCAATTTTCAGAATATGGACCTATAGGTCCCCGGAAATTGCACTCTCGTAATTATTTTTCTTAATACAATTTAGGGCGGGGGGTTGGGGTGCGTTTTTCTCAAATATTGATTACCTTTAATCTACACCAGTGGAGGTGTATCTCCACCAAAGTTATTTTCATGCACTATTAGGCCCTACAGGAAGTCAACATTCTCTGGAGCAATTAGTGCATTAAAAAAATGCATTGATAATTAATATACTAATTACTTATTATAGACCCATATTATTCAGTGGTTTTAAACTATTTGTTATATTTGTTTTTTAAGGACCCAATCGAGATATACCGGCCCCTACTGCCCCACCGGTCAATCCAGTGACGAGTGCGCCACCACCAGTTACAGCTATTCCCAACCCTACCATCGAGCCATCATTATGTAGTATGAATTATGATGCCATATCGTTTCTTAGAACAGAGATATTCATGTTCAATGTAAGTAGCCTATGTTGAAAATAAAAGCTTTGTAATCACAAAAATATTACCGTATATAACTAATGTAATTAGTTATATACGGTAATATTTTTGTGATTACCGTATATAACTAATTATATAACTAATGTAATTAAAGATGATAGGTGCAATCATAATTTATAGATACCGGGAATATTTATTATAATTATTTATAAAATTATCTTGCAAAAAGAAAAATTAAATTAAACACTGTTGATGATTTACATAAACTTTGAATCACTGCACAAAATAAAGAATAGTAGAAACGGCTTTATGACAAATAATTAATGTTTCAATACTGAATGTTGAACGGAAACTGAACTAGCTTGAGTTTAATTTGTTTGTAGTATGGGGAATGATGTTTAAGATAAAAGCAGTTATAAATAACAAAATAAATAAAATTATTAATATTATTTTTATTAGTATTATTATTAATATTATTATTATTAGTATTATTATTATCATTATTATTATTATTATTATTATTATTATCACTACTATTGTAAGGCTTGTTATTGCTCTTATTATTCCTCGAAAAGGATGAGGATATTCTACGCATAGCTATGCGTGGCAGCCTGGTACCTGGATATCCCCGTAAAATATCCGATTTCTTTTCCACTCTGGAAGACAATATTGATGCATCCTACGAAAGATATGATGGTACTATAATGTTTTTTAAAGGTACGATATTAGATAATTATTTTCAACAAAAATAATTTAGTTATCGTAGGCAGTTTATAGAGGCCTATAT